TTTTATAATATTATGTATTAATTTTAATATATAGTTTGTATTTATTTAGTTTAAATTATAATTTGTATATAATTTTAATATATAATTTGTATTTATTTAGCTTCTGAAAGTGAATGAATAAGTGTAATTTTTGATCTCACATCAGTAATGAGTGAAGAATTGAAAGGTGGAGAGATGGGTTTAAAAGGAGAAGGTGGGGGAAGGGAGAAGGTACTTACCTGGACCGCTGGACGGGGTCAATGGGTGGTCAAGATGACCCATGGCCTAGGTTGGCGACCTCCATTGCACTTTGGAGGGGCTCCAGTCTAAGGTCGGCCCAAGAGGTCGAACCTAAGTTATAATTTAGGCATGTTCGTTTATGTTCGAGTTCGAGCTTGATTCGAGTTCTAGTTCGAGCTCGAGTTCGAGCTTGATTCGAGCTCGAGTTCGAATTTGATTCGAGTTCGAGTTCGAGCTTGAATCGAGTTCGAGTTGAGCTTCGATTTTGACTACTCGCGAGTTTTCGAGTCGAGTTCGAGCTTCGAGATTAGGTTTCGAGTTCGAGTCGAGTATAATGATACTCGAGTACCAATCAATATTGACCATTCATTGACCATTACTTTTTATGACAACCTTAGAATATATACGATCAACGAAGATAACATGATAAAGAAAGTTAGAAAGTTATACTGAGAAACGTAAAAAAAATCTGAATATTTGATATTTTTAATCTCGTATCTGTTTATTAATTGTATTTTAGAAGAGAATTGATCCGGTACATCTCAGTACATTTCATTAGAAGATTAATCCAAGAGTATAGAACTCTTCTTACCATGACTTCCCTTTTAACCAGAACCCTAACGCTATATAGCATTTCCATTCATTAAATAAGAAAACATCATTAAACGAACACATAAATGTTTGAGTTTATATATATAAGAATTATTAATTATATAGTTGAGGATTAAGCTCCTTTTAAGCCAACCATTTAACATGTTGTTTACGTCTAAATTGTCTTTTACATAATGCTCTTTAAACGTAACGGTTTGGACTGGCTGAACAGTTTGCTGGTTATAAACCTTTTTATGCAAACAAATTAATGTCGTTGTTCTAACGATACCCAATAACTCGACCTTTCTAAAAGTCAAAGGTCATCAAACGTAGTCAAAGATGAATATTATAATTAATTATTTAAAAATAATAATAATTTTTTCCACAATCGATATATAATAATAACCTACCAAATGCAACTAACAGATTTGTTTGAACTAGGGTGGGATTCGAACACTAGACCTCCTAGGAAGCCAAGTGCCCTTGCCACCACTAGACCAACTAATGATTTTCACTTAATACAACTCATGATCAACAAAGACAGACCTCCTTAACAAAATGGAATATATTTCTTAATTCCATGTACAACAAATTTTCACATCTCAATAGCAAAATTGATGTACAAAGGAAATAACATCTTCTGGTTGTGATTTGTTTGTTTATTCATAAGTAATTATTTAATTATATAACAAAGTGTTTTTATTTTGTGAAGTAACATTATAAAAAATGGTTGCTGTTATTATAATTTTTGCAATTGTTCCAAGCAAAAAGTTAATTAAAATAACAAAGATTATATAGTATTCAACAAAAACTAACCTATACAAATAGAACAACAGAAAAACACAAGAGAATGATGCACTTAACAAGTAAACCAAACAAGCAGAAGGCAAGTAATTAAAATAATTGTCCCCTTCAATCACTCATCTTACTTGCCGATGTCAAATATGGAATTTTTTTTTCTTTAATTAAAATGGTGAAAACTTATAGGCAGGATTGCAAGCAAGTTGATGCGATTTAAGTTTTGTTACAGCAATGCTAGGCATGGTAGGAGAACAATTATACCTTATTTAAACTTCAGCATTCCATGTGCAGCATTGGAGCCACTCCACTTTTCAAAAAGGTACTTATTCTCTATGCATGAAATAGTTTTATCATATGCTTTATAACATATGCATTCATTGTGTAGCAGGCACATAACACTTCTTCCAAAGACATACTTCCATGAACAATTTAACAATACCTTTTCCTAGCTGTCTTTGAGAATCATAACACTTTCTTTTTTGAAAAGGTTTCTTGTTACAATAATGTATTTGTTTGTCATCATTATAACAAATAAACTTCAGTATTGATTTGGGTCCATAAGATTCATTTATTTCGTTGTTATTGATTGGTACTACAAGTTTTTTACGAGACGGAGGAAATAGTTTTTTGGCTTATGAAAATTGCAACAATTGATTTRAGAWGTARKGGACGTCTACCCAAATGCTTACCCGGTAAGCGCTTACCAATAGGAGTTAACCCTATAATTTATTTGGACGCGTAAAATTTTAGTACATCAAAACATATCAAATCCAACAATTTACTGGGTAAGCGCTTATCTGGGTAAGAGTCACCATCCTCACTTACCGGGTAAGACTCTYCATTATTCTCATCGCTCTTATCCGGTAAGATTCTTCACCCTTCTCATGTTCGTCCAGGAAATTTATGCRTTAAACACTTACCAAGTAAGTGTTTAATAAACAGCCCCGTAGTCTAATAAGAATGCTTTACTATTAGCCAATGTTTGAAATACCCTTCAATGATAACARAATGAATCTTATGGATTTAATTCAATACCGATCAATAATTTTTAACAATGACGATGCTAAATAAATGGTAAGTTAGAAAGTTTGTCAGATTCGACATGTTACAAACAAAGGAGACATCTACATAKAGGAAATATAAAAATACAGGCCAAAAGGATGCTTGATACTCCTGTTCCAAAAAGAAAATTAAACATATTCACTCTCTTGTGGTCTTCCACAGCCTTGATACACATCCATCCAACAATCTGAAGACCCCACTATACTTATGCTTCTTGTTTGCCCAATATTCTCATATATAAACTAAACTCCCCACATATGTCATCATGAAAGGAGGCATACCATTGCATTAATGTTAGCAAGGCTTAACAAATGATGAGGATTGCATTAGGTATCTGAATCTAGGGGGTTAACATTTTCAGAACATGGTTTCAATAAATGAGAGCTATGTTGTAACAACCCATTTATGGGCTTAGATATTCTTATGATAAGGAACCGTAGGTGCGTTAATGAATAAATGCTTAATCGATAAGTTTCGAGATTTAACGAAACTTTCTCGTAAGTACATTTTAGGATTTCTAAAGTGTTGGTAAAGGTTGAATCTGAGAAATTAAACTATAATGTCAAACCAAACTCAATCCAGGATTACTTTAAAAGATACAAGCACACAGTGGCACAAGAAAATACTATATGTTGGAGGGTTATAATGTGCAGGCATCTAAAGTCGTACCTTTGGGCTATTGGCTTTCCAGGTRAGCTGCAATCGCCTAAATCGTCCGAGTTACTCTTAGTCAGTGGAGAAACCTGCATARAAGCAATACAATTTAGACCAGCTATACCAACCAAAAAGATTTACTGCTTTATGCTCAATGGCTTGTTATTGATTTCAGCTTGTGGACTGTGGTTCCAATTCTGAATATGCAAATCTTGGTTTGTAGTTAGTTCTTTATATGGGTTTCTTTCATATGTGGTTGTGATTCATCAAGCTTGTAAACGTCAAGCTTTCACTTTTACATGTATTTTTTATACAATCATTTCATCAATATAATATACTTGTTTGTTTGCATAATATTTAAATAATTACATATTTACATTAAGCTCACCTCAACTAAATTACTGGCTTCGTCTGTGCATACATGCATATGTGTGTGTATGCATGTAGACTCTAACTCTACATTCACACAGTTGAATTCACTAAATGAGGTGGAGTCCTCCAACTATGGGACCTTGGCAAATGATATATAGAAGGAGACATACAATTTAACATATATTGCCCCTCTTCTTTTCCTTGTTCCTACATCTTTTTTTCTCCTTCCTCAAACAAAATATCTTTAAGAAGTATGCAAAGTTTCATTATTCATTTAAAAATCTGTTCAATAATATCCAAGATTCTGTTTTTTTCTTTCTTTACTCTGTCTGCTTCTCTTCCAGTTTGCAGCTTCCTATTTTAGCCATGTTTCAGTCTCCGACGTCTTTGTTTTATCTATGTTTCAGCTCAATGCTTCAGCCTTTGACATTGTTTCTTATGTACAGTTTTAACCTTTTAAGGTTGGACAGATGATTCTTCTAGTAACTTAATCAATCTAAAGTGCATTACTATGGTTAAATGTCAAAGAAATTAAAAAGTACAACATACACATAACCAAAATCCAATTAAAGACATTTAAGAACAACACCTAACATGCAACCATCTTCTGAACACACAACGCTATATAGCATTTCCATTCATTAAATAAGAAAACATCATTTAACGAACACATAAATGTTTGAGTTTATATATATAAGAATTATTAATTATATAGTTGAGGATTAAGCTCCTTTTAAGCCAACCATTTAATATGTTGTTTACGCCTAATTTGTCTTTTACATAATGCTCTTTAAACGTAACGATTTGGACTGGCTGAACAGTTTGCTGGTTATAAACCTTTTTATGTAAACAAATTAATGTCGTTGGTCTAACGATACCCAATAACTCGACCTTTTTAAAAGTCAAAGGTCATCAAACGTAGTCAAAGATGAATATTATAATTAATTTATTTAAAAATAATAATAATTTTTTCCACAATCGATATATAATGATAACCTACCAAATGCAACTAACAGATTTGTTTGAATTTTCCCATGTGTAAAAGGGACACAATGAAAGCCTCTAAAATCGTATTTAAATGTCTGGAGTTCTGAACAATTGGTACGATTCCACTGCCTCTGCGGCTCTGCATCAACGCCATGGTTATAGAGAAAGACGAACCACTAACACCGGCCGGTCGCTTGTTCGTACAGCCGGCAACGGATCAAATCATCAACTGCGTTCTTGGACTGGATCGTCCGGTTGGAATCGAAGTCGCACGATCGGTAATCTCTGATTCTCTCCTTATCAAGCACCCTAGATTCACCAGCCTTTTGGTCAAGGATAATCACGGTCGTGAGCGCTGGAAAAAAGTCGAGCTTGAAATCGACCGCCACATCATCTGTCTCCCTGACGCACTCGGTGATCACGATGACGAGACGATAGTCAATGACTACATCGCCGACCTGACAGTCTCGTGTCCGTTGAGCACAGATAAGCCACTTTGGGAGATACACATCTTACCGCCACACAAGTGTGTCGTGATCCGTCTCCATCACGCTCTCGGTGACGGAGTTTCTCTTCTGTCGTTAATGTTGACTATGTGTAGAAAAGTCGGCGACGGCGATAAGATGCCGACGATCAAACCACTGTCTACTTCTAGAAGCAACCATAGGGAGAGTGGGGTAGAAAGATTCTGGAAGTTGTTGAAAATGATGTGGTTTACTTTGATTTATATGTTGGAGTTTTTCATGAGGAGCCTGTGGGTCCGGGATAGGGAGACGGCGGTGAGAGGCGGAGCAGGCGTGGAGCTCTGGCCGAGGAAACTGGCGACTGCCAAGTTTAGCCTTGATGATATGAAAACGGTTAAGAGCTCTGGCATTAACACTGTAAGTTTCAATTTTCGTTATCTTTTTAGTTAATTCTGTTATTTTAACCATTCATTACATTAGGGGATGTTTAACCAAATAGCAATCAACACTATAATAATTTTAGATACTTAAGATTTTAGTACATCAAAGTATATCGAATGCAATAATTTACTAGGTAAGCGTTTATCTGGATAAGAGTCGTCATTCTCACTTATCAGGTAAGACTCTTCATCATTCTCATCGTTTTTACCAGGTAAGATTCTTGGCCTTTCTCATATTCATTCGATTAGAAAAATTTTATGTTAAGCACTTATCAAATAAGTTTTTAGTAAATGACCTCTTAATTGGTTCTGATATATATGACACAAATCCGTTAAAAATCCATAAAAATCAGTTTTTGTATGTTGTTTTATAGATGTAACTGCATATGTAAAGTCAAACTTGATATTAGAAGGTTCATATATAATATATATATATATATATATATATAAAATATGTTATAATAAACAAATACACATCAATATCAATATCCATAGGGGTTGATATCCCCACCCCTCCTCCTCCTCACATCTTTCTCTCACTCACACCTCACATACTCACCCCTCCTTCACATGCTCACCGAATTTTTTTAAATTTTAATTTTAAATTTACATTTTATATTTCTATAATTAATTAATTAATTCACTTTATATCTTTTTTTTTAATTTTTTATTTTATATCTTTATCAAATTAACATACATAATTATATATCAATTAAAACATATTTAAAAAATACATTTTTATTTTAACAAGTTACATCATTATAATCATCTCGTTAATACCTTCGAAATGAGTCCAATATTGAATAATTTTTTACTTAATTATATATATATATATATATATATATATATATTATACAAAAATATTATTAATATTTACACTTTATACTTTTATAGGTATTTATTTAATTTATAGTACATAATTTATTTTTTTCAATTTTCGTTTTACACCATTATCACATTGAAAAACATAATTTTATATTAACTAAAATTAGATTTAACAACGAAATTAACCTCTCAGGAAGCATTCTCATACCATTTATTCATCTTGTTCATCTTATGTACTTATTTTTTAATATACTTTTTATTTTAACAAATTAGACCATTATAATTGTCTCGTCAATCTCTTCGAAATGAACCCACTAATAAACATTATTTGATTTAATTATATTATTATAATCGTATTTTCAATACATTTGAAATGAACACAATATTGAATATTTTTGGATTTAATTATATTATTATCTATCATATATATAACTGAAAAAATATTTTTAATACTTACACTATATATTTTTGTAGTTAATTATTTAATTTTTTAGTATATCCCTAACTTTTTATTTTTCATTTTCATTTTACGTTCTTATCACATTAACATATATAATTATATATTAAATAAAATATGTTAACAAAATACGTTTTTATTCTAACAAGTTACATTATTATAATCGTCTTGTGAATACCTTCAAACGAGCTCAGCATTGAATATTTTTGGTTAATCATATTATTGAATACCATAACTACATAAATTATTTTTAATACTTACATTTTATACCTTTACATTTATTTATTTAATTTGCTTCATATACATTACTTTTTTTCATTTTTCGTTGCATACCCTCGTCACATTAACATACATAATTGTATATTAACTAAAATCCGTTAAAAATGTTTTTTTTTATTTTAATAAGTTACATCATCGTAATCGTCTCATCAATACCTTCAAAATGAACCCAATATTGAACATCGCTTTATTTAATTAAGAAAATGTAATTATATAAATTTCATAAAGGTATAAAATAAAAATAAATAAGTAAATAAATATAATAAATTTTTATAAAGATATAAAGTATAAATATTGAAAAAAATCATATACAAATATATAATTTAAAAAATACATATTTTTAATACTTTATTAATTAATAATAACATATAGTTAATTAATATATCTAATTATAGTATAGATAAAAAAAGTAAAGGATATAATAGAAAAGTATTTAAAAAATTGAAGGGTTAAAACTAAAAATATTAAAGGTTAAAATTGAAAAACAAAATAAATAAATTTTAATATATCATATAGGTGGGGGTATAGAAAAAATGAGAGAAAAAAAAAAGGTGGGCTAAATGCACCCCTATACATTGTTTAATGCATTCCTATACATGAATTTTTTCCTCACACACATCAACATCAATACATGTTTCTTACATTCTCAATGCTTGAATGACCTGATTCTGACATCAAAGGGGGTGCCATTAACACTCCCCAAAAAAAAAAAGAAGGGGATGGGGATAAAAAACCCCTATTCATATGTCGTTTAAAGTTTGCATTCTGAGTTTAATAAACTCGCTTTTCTATGGCTCTACTTGATATATATAATTATTAAAACCTAGACTCATCATTGTCTAATTTTTAATTTTACTCTTCAAATAAATAAATATTACTGTTAATGTATATTACTTAAAATTTAATATTATAAGTAAATTGTGTGTAAGTATAATGTACTATAGTTTATTATTTGAATTTGTGTAATTAACTGCAGTTAAACATAATCAAATACAGAATATTCTCATTTTAGATATAAAAAATCTAAAATATAATTAGAATAATCATTGAGTTCTAAATGCATCTCCAACAGATTCTTTAAAATTTCTTTAAAATAGAGAATTAAAAGTCAAAATCTTTAAAAAAATATTACATTCATCTTCAATAGATTCTCCATTTGTAGAATCCAATATTAATTAATCTATTAAAATATTTCATTAATCTATTAAAATATTTTTTATCTATCTAAATATTTATTTTCAAAGTTTTCTATTGGTATTCTCACTTGATAATAATTGTTAGGGTGATCTCCGTATTTGGAGAAAAAACTCGTCTCTCTCCTACTTTCTCCATTTTGGAGATAGTTTTGGGAAAGCTGTTTTAACAAAATATAGACTCAAAATCATCATTTTCCCCATTTTGAAGATTCTATTTTAGTAAAATATAGACTCAAAATTCTCATTTTTCCAATTTGGAGAAGCTATTGGATATGCTCTAACAGAATACTTGATTATTATCTTTGTAAATATTATATTATTAAATCAAAAATAAATTTACTTCGCTAATAAATCTAAATTAAACTATAATAAAAAAATTAAATTACAGATTAAAAAAATTAATAATTAATTAATATTAACATCCATATTTTTTTCCTTTAAATTTATATTTTATTTAAAAATAAAAAGTATTATCGTCTTTCCAAAACACATAAAATTGCATCATAATATCATCAAATATAAGAAAATAAAACAAAACATTAAAATCAAGATATATCTCATTACATTACATGAACACTTTTCTAATATATAATAATAAAACATACCTTAATAACTAAAACTTGTATCAGTTACATAAAACTTGAGATACATTTCTATAGTATTAAGAACCCACTTTTGTTTTTTTAATCATCATATTACTTTCAGCTTATTAAATTAAAAATCTTAATAAAACTTAGGAGATGTTTGTGATTGCTTATAAAAATAACTTATTGACTTATTTTAATATGACATCGGTAATAAGCATTTTTGAGTGTTTGGATAAACAATTTATACCGGTGTCAAACCGGTAATAAAAAGTTTTTGAAGAAGTTAAACATTTCTAACTTATAATAAGTTGAGAAATACTTTTGTAAAAAAGCATGAGTTGTTTCAAATAAGCAATCCCAAATACCCTTAATAGTGGTATAATTAATTTTAAAAAAAAAACTAAAATTGGACATTAATAAGTGTTTGCACGGTCAATATTGTCTCTTATTATTCAATATGAATCAACCTACCAAATTTGGACGCCTTTACGATCATAATTTGTTGAACACAATAAATGTCATAATTTAATTTTTATAATGCAAATAGTTGAAGTAGATTTGGTCATCAATTATTGATTTTCATAATGCAAATAATAATACCATACTTTTGCTATTTTTATTTTATTTTCTTATTTTAGAAATCTATCATTTCCAATATTACTATAATAAACTTTTATATTCATTATGATTCTAATAGTTTGCAGCTCTACTTTTTGTGGAAAAAAAATCATGAAAGATGTATTGTCACATTCCAGTAATAAATCTATGTGTTGAAGCAGATGTTCATATCTGAGGACCATAAGATTATGTGTCGTCTATTTATAAATTTGACCAGATGTTTTAAAGAATACGTAGGGTTTGCATTTAATTAATATAAGTGTTTAGGTGTTGGCTTTAAATGGAAGGGGACTTCATTTAAGCCATTAGAGCGTTTCCAACGTTTTTTGTTACCCTCGAATAAAGGCATTTACGAATGAACACCTAATTGGAATTGATTATACTACGTGAGTTTAAAATTTGAATTTGTGAAAACGATGTCGGGACAATCTAGTTCGTCTCGTTTGATGGTTTATTGGCTTCGTGTTGACCATGAATTCACTATTGATCGATGCTTAATCATCATAAAGTTAAAACAAACCCTAGTCTTAAAACGAATTAAGATCGAAGAATTACATACCTTTTTTTTTTTTTTTATCCTTATTAAGTGTTGCCACTTTAAGCTCTTGGACTCGTATTTTCCCCACTTAACCATTTAAGTTCGACATTTACCTACGTTAGAAATAGACCCTGAAACTGTGGTGTTATAGTTATAACAGAAAAAATTAGGAAAAGCTCAAAATACACCCAACAAACTATCACATTTTAATTGATAAAGTCCCTAAGGGTGCGTTTGGTACACTGGACAAGACATGACAGAATAAATCAGAGATCTTGTTCCAAGTTTGCCAAGACTTTTATGTGAAACAAACATGAACAAAGTGGAACAAAGTGGAACAAAGTGGAGCAGACTTGTTCCACCCCTACCCCATAAAACAGGGTGGAACAAGGTGGAGCAGATATATATTTTATCAATATAACTTCAAAATAAAACTTAATTATCTTCTAAACATCAAATATGTCTCATTTTTACATTTTTTAAGTTTTTAAATTTTATTTTATGTTTTTTAAACTTTCATTTTACGATTCTCAAAATATTATTTTTATACGGTATCTATATTTTTATTAATTTATGTAATTTATTATATATTAATAATAATAAAATGTAGAAAAGAAGTAAAATAAAGACCGGAAAGTAGATAAACTTTTTATTTTTATGTTTTTGGTTATTTTACTAGTTCTATCTTACCAAATGTTGAACAACTATTCTCTTTTGTCATGTTTTGTTCTCTCTTATCAAGTCTAGACACCAAATACACCCTAAACTATTTTTTTTGAAGAATAAACCCTTAAACTTTATGAGATCGGACAAATAAATCCTTAAACTTACTAAAATTGAGAAAAACTCATCGAACTTTCATATTTTGAACAATTAGATCCCTAAAAAAATTTTGAACGAATAAATCCTTGCATTTATAAACGAAAGAAATTTAGCCTCTCTTTTTCCATGTATGAACAAATCAATAGAAAAGTACAACAAACAAATAAAACAAAAAGTACGCCATTTCTATTAACCATTGTTTATTTTTCAGATTCAAATGACAATCGCAAGTGTTTGTTATGATCTTATAAGTATACCTTAGTATTGATTTAGATACATAGATTGAAAAATAATAGATTGCTTTCGTTTTATAAGTCAAAATATTTACTCGTTAAAAAAAATGTTTTTGGTTTTTCTAGGTTTTAGTAAGTTTAAGGATTTATTTGTTTTAATAAATTAATTACCCAAAACATGATAGTCTGTTGGGTTTTTGGAGACTTTGGAGCCATTTACCAAACATTTACTCGGGTAAGTGCTTACACAAAATTCAACACTATCACCTACTTACCGAGCAAGATCTTTTGTCCACCAAAAGAGTATCTTATTCAACAATTTACCCGGTAAGTACTAACTATGATAAAAGTCGTCACCCTCACTTACCGGATAAGATTTTTGGTGATTGCCATATGCATCCGGTAAGTAATATGATTTGGTAAACAGACACCCAAAACAAAATTTGCGATCTTAGTTCTTTGACATGCGTAAAAATGATCAAGTGCCATTTGCATACTTGAGATTATCTAACAGGATCAAGTCCTATTTACAATTCTGATCAGCCCTTTTTCTCGTGTACTGAATTGCAGACGATTAATGACGTCCTTTTTGCTGTAATATCATCTGGACTATCAAGATATCTGGAAATCCATTCGCGGAAACGTAAATAAACGCTTCATTTCTCTATTCATCGATCCCTTCAAATATATGTTTCATAACTAAGTTATAACTTACCATCTCTTGTAGCTCCTCAACAAGGAACTCAAATGACTGGTGCAGCCATTGTTAATCTAAGACCATCACAAGGAATCCAGGTTATTTAATTACACTTGCACTTTCTCTACATGTCCAACGCAAACTTAACAAACTTACTGGATATGGGAGCAGGAAATCACAGAATTAATGAAGAAAAAATCTGGATCAAGGTGGGGAAACAAATTTGGTATGATGCTCTTACCAATTTACTACCATACAAATGGCTCCGATCCTCTTGAGTATTTAAAGAGAGCCAAGAAGATGATCGATAGGAAGAAGCTGTCTTTAGAGCCTTTTCTATCATACAAAATCGGCTACTTTGTGATGAAATGTTTTGGAGCAAAGGTGAAACTCTTTTGTTATATATATATATATGTGTGTGTGTGTGTGTGTGGGGCTGCGCTAACCAACGATTTTGGTTTCCAGTTTGCAAGCTTGCTTAATTACAGGATCATATGCAACACTAGTTTCACGATTTCAAATGTGGTTGGCCCGCAAGAAGAGGTCATGATTGCAGGCATACCGGTTACCTACATCAGAACCACGTCTTCGAGCTTAGCACATGTAAGAATTTCTAAAATTCGGTATATGAGTGAATTCATAATGAATGGTGGTGGTGTGTTTGTGCATGCAGGCAATTACTATGCATATGATGAGTTATGCAGGAAAGGCTGAAATGCAAATCCTTGTGGCTAAAGATCTCATTCCTCAACCAGAAAAATTAGCTAAATGTTTTGAAGATGCACTACTTGAAATGAAGCAAGCTGCATTGAAAATAGGAGAAAAGCCCCCTAAATTCCCACAAAATTCTGGGTAAAAATGAAGATCTCAATATCAGGTAGAAATTATCGTTTTGATTTGCTGATGTTTGTACAAGATCACAGGTTTGAATCTCATTTTGTACAAATGCTAATAGTTTTTTTATAAAAAGACATGAGCAGAAGCTATCAATCTCTATGGCAAAACTTGGAATCAAGACTATCATTTAGAAACAACAATCCAAGATGCACAAAATTATTCACAACACTAACCTCAAATCCCATCTTTGTTTCTTATTAAATCTGCACGATTTGTAGCAAATGTAAGCAGCTTCTTCTTGTTGCCTCCCCTCTTCCTTCTATACAGAAGCTTCCTCAGCAACTCGATACCTTTACGGCGCTGCTTACTTGGTACAACAGACAAAGCCCGAGGTATGACATTTTTAACTCCATATGAGGTATTGCAAGTGTTGTGACGTGGGATGGTTGGTTCTTTTGTTTCTTTAGTGGTTATGATTTCTTTGATCATGGAGGAGTTTAGAAGATCCTCCGTGTCAATGCCATCATCTGCAGCCATACGATCACGCAAAGAAGTATGCTGGCTCGATTTTTTGTTATTAGTCATCTCCGCTGTAATCTGCAATCCCTGCAAATTCATCTTGATTAAGCATCTCTTAGCATGAATTTGTTTACAGCTTCAAAGTGCTATGTGGGTTGATCTGTGCACTTGTATAGTTGTCCACCTTGTGATACCCTCATCTTTAGGTTGTATTTTCTAGCAAAATTTCGGCATAACCTATTCGTAAAGTCATAGAGCTTTGCCATTTTTATAACCTGTATATAATGATTCCAAAAAGATTATATATACAAAAGCCACATATCTGAGCTAATCTATATATATACGACTGATTTAAAAGATGAGGGTGTCACAAGTTGGTATTATTATGAGAAGGATGGTTTCCAGGTGCAACTCTAATTACGGTTGATTACAGCATGATAAAATAATACTTACAGTCTGAAGCGACTTCCCTTCTTGCTCAAAATCTTCTGATACCACATCCTTATGGGAAACACTGTGCATAACATATCTAAAAATCAGGCAAATTTTCGAATTCCTACAGGCATTAGAATAGGGGGAAAAGAGGTACCTGGCTAGTTGGAGTTGTAGCTCGAGACATGCTGCTTCCAGTCCTTCAAAGTGATGACTTCTATCCTCCAATTCCATTTCTAGAAAAGATACCTTCCGAAGAGCTTCTTTTATTTGAAGCTTGGCAGCAAAAAGTTGATGATCAAGATCAACATTAATTAATTTCAGATTTTCAAAGTGATCCTCGGTCATCCTCTTCGATTCTTTCAGGCGTTTAAGTTCAGTTTTCAGATCGACAATTCTGTTTTCTGATTCCAAAAGCTTTGCCTCCAGATCTTTGTGCACATCGTTCACCTCATCCAACTTGTTGATCGGTCCTCGTCTCTGTTCTATCAAGCTTGCATGATATCTATGTTGAAAAGCTATTCTGATGTCTTCCAACACTTCATCAAAGCTTCTTTTTGAATCATGGGTATGCTCCAAAGTCTCTAACAGAACATGCTGAAGCCAATCGTAGTCTTTCTCAGATGAATTGAAGGCGTCATCTAGTGATTGTGGAACTAGTTTCTTTCCCGCCATATCAAGATTATCTTTGTCTGAAGAATGTGCATCAACAGAAACTAATTCTTCTTTCTCCTTCTCATTTAGGTTCACACCCGAATTTCTAATCATTTCATGTTGCATTGCTATACCAATATTCTGTTCACCACACCTCTTCCGAGTAAGTTCTGCTTTCAAAAGGCGGATTTCCTTCTCTCTCTTAGATTCACTTTCTTTGAGAATCTTGTTCTCTTCTTCCACCTCACATAATCGCTTTATCATCACACTCTTTCTTTTATCGACGGCTTTAGGATGGTTGCTCGGCTTCGTCTTTGCATGCCCCGGGATCCGCCTCCTCACTAACAATCGCAGCTTCTGGCGTTCAGCTTCTAGCTTTGCCACATTCTTTGCACTTTCTTGATGTTGCCTCTTTGCCACGTCAGCACGACGGTTTCTCATCTTGAGCTCTCTCTCAAGAACACGATACTCATATTTCAAAACGTCGTTTCCTCTTTCAGTGAAATCCAGTCTCGAAATTAGTGCATTGAACTCTGCAGTTGCTTCAGACATTTGATTATTTACATCTTCTATTATTTCCTCTTTCTTAACAAGGGCTTTAGTAAGCCGGGCATTCTCAACTGTTAGATTTGCAAGTTTTTTCCTTGCTTCTGTGTATTTCGACTCTAATCTCTTATGTTCCCTCTCAATATTTACCCTTCGATCATGCTCTACTTTTGAAGAACTCAACTGCTGCCTGCAATTCTTTAATGCAGCATTTAAGCGAACCAACCTCTCGTTTGCAGCCACTTTCTGCTGTAACATACCTTCTAGTTCTCGTTTCCATTTAACCACTTCTGCTTCCGCCTTTTCCCTGCCTAAAAATAATTAAAAAAAAATCCCATAAAAACCCATCTAAAATGAGACCTAAAAAGCAAGAATACTAGTAGAAACACTAGTAATAATACAAATCAAGTACAATTGAAGTCACCTGTGTTGGCTTTTTGTGCTGTTTTCACATGTTCCGCCATTAGTTTATCTTTAACATTACACTCGCACAGAAGACAAGCTACCTGTTCATGGAGGTTTTTTACTGTTTCCTCTAAAGCTGCTTTTTTTTCGTAGGGAAACTTCTGTGTGACACAAGTAAAACAAGCTCAGCAGACCAACTTCTAAAGGTGTGATGGCAAGGAAACACAAGGAATCTAATGTGCAAAAAAAGACCCTTAAAAGTCTAAATGGAATCTAATCTTTAGATGAGGAATTACTAGAAACCATATTTCCTATTTGGTCCATTTCAGACGAGCAAATGAAGATGATACTGTCAAGAAATAGACTATTGATCATGAACCTAAAATTTCCAACATCACCACTACCATTTCACCCATCATGAAGACAAGATATTCTCAATCTACCTCTTCTTCATTTCCTTTTACAGAAATTTCAGCTTCATCATTCATAGGAATCGATTTCTCCAATGATTTTTTCATCCGAATCCATGTTTTTTGGTCCATCTTTTGCTCTGATCAACAAAAATAAATATAAATTAAGTACCAATTATCTCAAGAATCCGTTGATCATTAAGTGATATAGTTGTAGTTGCACATGTTCCAGCTACACCTTTCAACTATTGAAGTCCACTTTGCAAAAGAAATTTGAAACCAAAATGGTTGAAACTTGTTCCACCATGTATCAAAGATTATGCAGTAAAATCTTGATGATGTATATTGATGGGCAGCATCTAATCTACGTAAGGATAATGTGTGAATTTATGGGAATGCTTGCAGCCACAGGTTGTGATTCTAGAAAGCAGAGCAAGCAAAGGTTATTTCTGTCTCAAATAGTATCAGCCATGAGAATGAAACACATAAATGGCAACAAAGGAGAAAACCCATGAAACACAAACCAAAAGTAGGAAGTTAAACCAGCAAAAAAAGGATGAAATTAGAAGCTTACCTACAGGAACCCAGCAGGGTTAGAGTTAGAGGTTGGTTGAGGAATTTTATCAAACAGGTTGTAGGGAAAAGGATTGGAAGGCAGTGGGTGGATTTATGAGTAGGGGATAGGGATGGTAGGAATGGAGCGGTGGCGAGGGAGGAGACAATAAGAAGAATTGCAGCAGCAGCAACATGTCAGTTACGATTATGGAGAGGGTACAGAACCGACTCAAGAGCATCAAATGTCTTGGTGTCCTGTGCCACTACAATATAAATAAAATGGTTTTGAGAGCTTTATTTGTTTGGTAGATCCATTATGAATCAGTCGAATTTTGTATTATGTGTAATATGTTTATTTGATTTAAGTTTAAACAAAATAGAAAAATTTATAAATAGTGGTATAATGTCTCGGCTTAACTGAAACAGTAAAAAGTTAATCGAAAATTGAACCAATAAGTTATCTTTATTTGGTTAACTAAACAATTTAAACCGAAAACGAATTACTCGAAACCGTTTGGTTTGGATGAATTACTCAATATCAAAAGTTATTTTACACCCCAAGTGCGTATCCAACCAAAAACGTTTCTGGATCCACCACTTTCATTGTATCATCATTGGTTCCATAGGTTCCAGGAGGCAGTTATCGGTGTATTTCGTCACTTTTGAGATCAACAAAGTAGAGTTCATATTTTGGGAACAATACAGGGGAGGAGACGTTGCAGAGGGGAGGCAAAGTCGATGACGATGGCAAAGAGCGGAGGTGAATGGCAAACAAGAGGCCTAGGGTAAATATCGTGACCCATTTCAAGTCGTCATGAAAAATTACCGTATAGAGATTAACTTAATATAAATTATAAATATCATAAAACATTCATCAAGGTCATTTGAGATTTTGATTTACTGTCAATTTCAGGTCCCATAAAATTAGTCGAGATGTACATAAGCTGGCATGAAACCTATTTACATTTTAAAATTTGTTGATGGATAAACAACTTAAATTTTTTAAAATTGGCTTTATAAAACCAAGCATATTTGAGATATTTTTCATCATAAAAGAAAATTCAATTATAGAAATTGAAGTATAAAATAGTATTTTATATTTATTTGATAAAAATAAATATTTTCGTAAAATAAAAGAAATTGAAATGTAAAGAAAGCCAAGACAAAATTTGTTTGTAATTCTTTTTATTTCCTAAATCTTTTGTCAGAGGTTGTTTACTAAATGTTTATCCGGTAAGTACTTACCGGGTAATTTTTCTCACCGGATGAACATGACAAGGGCCAAAAATCTTACCCGGTAAGAGCGATGATAAAAATAGAGAGTCTTACCCGGTAAGTGAGGGTGATGATGCTTACCAGGTAAATTGTTGCATAGGATACGTTTTAATGTTCTACAATCTTACCCAATAAAATAAAGAGAAGGGGTGCTCTCCTATCTTTTGATTAGGCTCGAGTAGACGGTCTTCTTGGTGAGTGAATCAATTATAGTGTTGACTCATAACGTTAATCACTTACCAGGTAAGCATTTAGGTAAACGGCCCCTTAGTGTATTTTAATTAGCAAAAAGGCGAAATAACTTTACTTAAAAATAAAACAGGTTTCGGGTTTGATCCTGAACTATCTGTTAGCCTCAGTCATTAAGTGAGTCAAAAAATGTTATTTCACATTGGTATCCTTAATGATGAGTTTCGTATGAGATCGATTGGAGTTGTCAGTAATCAATTTTTTTTACCTAAATTATGTATCAAACTGTAAATTATTGTTTTATTTTAGATAAAATGAGTAAAACGTTCCGCTTTTTAATTAGAAAATGAGGTTATTTTTTAAGTTTGACGTAATTACTAAATTTATGTATTTGGTCTTTTTTTTTTGTATCTTAACAAAAAAAAATCAAATACTTATATCGTTATTATCGAATCAATTGTATGATTTTTACTAATGTTTAGTTCTTTTTAGCAAACAAATTAGAAAAGCATGTCGAGTCCTTTAAGGGTTCGTTCTGAGTCATTATTAATAGGGTTGTACATGGGTCGGGTTGGTCGAGTTGACGGTATTTTCTCAATCCAATCCAATGTTTGAGATTTGAAAAAGTACAAGCCAACTCAAACAAAAGTACAATCTAACTTAATTCAGACAGTACATGTTGGATTGGGTTGGCGAACTGATCGGGTTGAAACTATGGTACAATCTAGTTAAGTGATTGTGTTCAAATGAAGTAAATTCAAGATGAGTAGATATAAACAAAACTAACAATTATGTGAGAGAGATTAAAAGGGATTTGTATAATAATTTCTATCAAGGCTAAAAAATTACATATATAAGACGGGGTGAGTTCCAGTGAGAAGTGTAAGAAGAGATCTCAACTCTTAGATCAATCTTAATTGAATGTCAATACTAATGAAATGCACCGAGATCCACCAGATCAATTTCTATTCTAAAGTACAATTCATGGGTGAGTGTAAGATTAAAGGTGATTAATGGTTCAGATCTCTTTTTACACTTCTCAAATGACTCTAACCCAATTGCAACCTAATATCATAACAATTTGAAAATTTTACAACTCGATTAGGTATTGAGTTATTCGAGTTAGGTTGGCTGGTTTTATCGGATTTTTGAGCACTCCTGATTATCAAGAGTAATTTACATAAATGGTCCCTATCGCCTCAATTTTGGATTTTGATTTTAAACATACGTCAAGTACACCAATGATCCATATTTTTTGTATTTTATATCACGTTTTAGTCATGTACTTAAACACTTTTAAGTTGATTCACCACCAAAGAACACCTCATCAATAATTGAGTCATTGACGCAATAGTAGGGGGTCAGACAGTTCCCATCATAGGGGGACATGAACACAAGGGGGTCGTCGACCCATAACTGTCTCAAAGACCTTTTTTGAGTCGGCTTTTCTCCAAAGCAGTGAGGATACAATTTTCTAAGCATAATTCTACTCTTAATGGCTCTCAATTCATCACGTTTCAATCTTCCAAATTCATCGTAATCTTGAGCGTATTTCAATCTCCAACTAAATTCACCATGTCTCCTTCACCCATGGGCGGACCTACCTAAGGGGTATGGGTGGCACGTGCCACCGTATTATTTCTCCGCCGAGAGGGTAAAAAATTTAGGTTTGTGAATGGTGCTACCGTATTTTCCTCAATTCTATAAAAACCATACTTTTTGTAATTATTTTTTGGTATATATCGACCTTTTTCAAAAGATGAAGACGTGTCGGATACAAGTTTAGGAGTTGTTTATCGGTCCTATAAAAACCATATTTTTTAATTATTTTTAGATGTATATTATATTACTAGGGCTGTAAATAACCGAACGTGCAATGATCCGTTCAACAGGAAGTTCGTTTATTTAATAAATGAACGGACATGCACAAATTTTTTTGTTCGTTTAGTTAAACAAACGAACATGAACAAGAGACGAACGAACATGAACAAGAGTCACATTCGTTCATTTATGTTCGTGAACGTTCGTTCAGTTACCATTCGCTTATGTTCGTTTATATTCATTCGTTTATATACTAAATTTAATATATAATCTTTTGTTTATTTAATTTGAATTCAAATAATATTTATGTATGTTCGTTTAGCCCGTTCATTTATGTTCTTTTAGCCTGTCCGTTTATGTTCGTTCCTTTACGTTCGTTTAGCATGTTAACGAACGGACATAAACGAACACAAACACACCAGATTTCTAAACGAACGAACACAATGATTTTTGTTCATGTTCGTTCGTTTGTTCGGTTAAGTTAAACGAATGAATATGAACAAGCCTCCGTTCGTGTTCGTTCTGTTCGTTTACAGCCATATATATTATATTAATTATAGGGTGCCACCGTTTGAAAATTTTTTTGGGTCCGTCCCTGTTCACCACCATCATCACCTCCCTCTATTGCTGCCGAGAAAAGAGAAGGGTTGGTGGTGGTGACACTCGTGGACTCGGATAAAGAAAGGGATGTGCGGTTACATTGTGTATATCTATAAACTAGAAGGGTACTCGTGCAATGCATCGAGACACATCTTGATTTCAGTGTTTCGTTTTATTCCTTTTATATGTCGATATAATACGGTTTTTATGTGGTTTTGAGAAACGATAATGTTTTTATTTTATTTTTGAATAAAATATAAATTTGAAAATATCATAAAAATCTGATAAAATATATATCAATATTAGTATCAAATTAATTTTTTTAAAAGTTTTTATGTTTTGCTGTAATTTTTTTAATTCAATTTTTTAATTATAATCTAATTTAGATTTACTAACAAAGAAATTTAATTTAGATTTAATAATATAATTTTTTATAAAGATAATAACTAAGTATTCTGTTAGAACTTAATGATTATCTTAATTATATTTTAGATTTTTTATATTTAAAATTAGATGTTTATCCAATATTTGATTATGTTTATCTGTAGTTAGTTACACGAATTCAAATATGGAGCTTTAATAAGTTGTACTTATGCACAAGTTACTTGTAATCTTAAATTTTAAGTAATATGCATCAATAAACAGTACTTCGTGCATAAAAAATAGTTTTTAAGAGTTTTTCGTCAAATGCTTTATAATATAGTATAGATATATTATTTTATAAACATTATATTAATTTTTATCTATACTAAACCAGATTTATTAAAAGTCTTAAAAACAATTTATAATGCACAAAGTACTATACATTTATGTACAAAGTCTTAAAAGTTTTAAGAACAACTCATAATGCATTAAGTACTACTACTTTATGCATTCAGTTTTAAAATCTCTTAATCTACAATTAAAATAACATATAGTATTAATTACCAATCCACATTATTATTTTTTCTTTTCATGTTCCAATATACTTTTGACACCTTTCGTTCATGTCTTCACTCTCTCATACCTCTATGTCTTCTCCTCATCCCCCAAGATGAGACTCAAACTGATATTCACCATGAGTTGTTAAAAGTTATATCATTCATCTCTCATTCAATTGTTTTAGAACTCTCGGTCTCGCTCTCGATCTCTTGGTTTTTTGCTCTTGATGTAAATCAAACATATTTGTGGAGTCCCTTACATATGTTGGATTTTAAATATATTGAATTTTAAATTGTCATACAATTTTTTTCATCGATAGACTGTAATTGGAACCATAACTTTTATTTATTCAAATTGTATTAACATATAAAGACCAAATGTAAGTTATATCATCGTTAAAACTAATGAAACTTCAAAATCGTTAAATTCACGTCTTTCGCATTACACGGATACACAACTAGTAATTATTAAAAAGATAATAAGAGATTGATATAAAATGGCCGTTTTGCCCCCCCTCGTGTGAGGGACATAGAAAAGGGTTAAAAGTTGCAAGGACCAAAACGTCATAAAAATACAAAAATGGATTAGGGATCATTAAATATTTTAAATTCTTCCAAAACCGTGTATTGGATGGAATCGTAAATAAACAAAAGTAAAAGGGCATAAGTCTAAATAATGCACCGTTTCTGCGATCCTTCCTCGACCCACATCTTCCGGTCTCGTAACCGTCTCGCTCCGATTCTAGCCTCCATCGCCATCGTAGGAGGAGATTTCGAGAGAGAGATAGGAGGAGAGGGAATCTAGCTGGAAATCTAACATCAGATAGCCGAGAAATGGACAACGAACAAGCGTTTCTGGCGGCAGATGACGGAGTCGGAGACGCCGTTGTCAATGCACCGGCTTCTTCATCATCAGTTTCTTTTGCTTCGCTTTTGAAATCAGAGACTGTTTCGGATAATGCTAATAGTGGAAAGAATTTGTCAACCAGGGTGTACGATGATGACGATGACGAAGAGGAGGATGTTTGCCGGATCTGTCGGAATCCGGGAGACGCCGATAATCCTCTCCGGTATCCTTGTGCTTGTAGCGGTAGTATTAAGTTTGTTCACCAAGACTGCCTTCTCCAGTGGCTCAATCACAGCAACGCTCGGCAGTGCGAGGTTCGTTTTTTTTTTTGTCTTGTTTGATTTGGTGTTTGTTGAATTCTTTTTCTTTTTAAGACATGTAATTGATTGGACTGGTGTTGTGTTGTTGTTTCTTCACGAAAGAATTCGTTGTTTTTTAGTGCTCAAGCATAGATTACAGGCCTAATCGTAGATTTTAATGCTTTATGTTAATAGGCAAAAACCAAGTATTGCATATGTTGCCGCCTATTGACTAGTAATCTTGCGACTTTGATATATGCTAGAATATCCCCTTGATTATCGAGTCACTAGAAAGTAGCTGGAGTGGCCTTTATGGTGTTAATGGGTTGAAATTTTGGAGGTGTTAATGAATAAGAGGAGTTAATCTATAGGGAGATTTTGTCCTCTGATTCAGTTGCTTAGAATGATACAGGTACTATTTTCTTCTTGGTGGCTAGCAAACTATGGGTAAGGTAGTAAATGAGCGTATTTCGTGTAAAATCCAAACCAAACTAACCAAACATATCCCCTTGAAAGTAGGGCTCTGGGGGTGGGATGTACGCAGACCTGTTCTCCATCCCAAAGGGTAGAGTGGCTCTGTCCATGGAGTTAAATTTTCTTCTTGGTGGCTAGCAAATTATGGGTAAGGTAGTAAATGTGCGTATTTCATGTAAAATCCCAACCAAACTAACCAAGTGTATCCCCTTGAAAGTAGGGCCCCGGGGGTCGGATGTATGCAGACATGTTCTCCATCCCAAAGGGTAGAGTGATTCCTACCATGAGTTAACTTTTCTTCTTGGTGGCTGGCAAACTATGAGCAAGGAAAAAAGCGTATTTCATGTAAAATTCAAACCATACTAACCAAGTATATCCCCTTGAAAGTAGGGTGTATGCAGACATGTTCTCCATCCAAAAGGGTAGAGTGGCTCTGTCCATGGAGTTAAAACTGTAGTACAGTTTACAACCCATCATCAGTTTGCACCTTGATGCATCCTCCAGATGTTCTCAAGGATTTAGGTGGCTTAGTACCTCTTGTATATGATTTTAGGCTTTATGTGAACAACCCTGCTGAGGGAACCTATTTTGTTTATCAGATTTAAGTGGAGTGGGAATTATAAGGCCTACTCTAAAAAGTTGTTTCTAGCCCAAGTTCAAATCTGATACGTATAAAGTTATAATATGAATAAATTTGTTTGATAATCTATAGATTCTGTAAAAACACCAAAGTACCAACTATAATTCTATTATAACATATACATAACATAATGTTAAAAATAGATAACTTATCATGTGCTTAACATTCAATAAAAACATCCAAGTGGTAGGCAGTCCTCCGCCTGCTAATGCTTTTTAGAATACTAGTGACAGTGGATTGATGATTCAGTAATATTAGCAATGTAGATTAGCATTGGATTTTATGAATCCTAAGGCTATAGACAGTCATGCTAATATAATCTGTACATATCCTAGATTTTTGCTTGTAACTGTAGTTGTCTGTATTGTGCTTTGTGCTCCCTTATCTTGTTTGTCTAACCTATTTCCTTTTCCTTTGCCCTGTTTTGCTTGTTTGCACTCTCTCACCTATATCTTACTCGCTTGTTCTTATCTATTTGGTCTGTAATTCGGAGGTCTTTATGGAAACAGCCTCTCTACCCCTTGGGGTAGAGGTAAGGTATGTGTACATCTTACCCTCCTCAGATCCTATCTCTATGTGCGATATACTGTGTGCATTTGATTTTTTTTTAATAATGTATTGGGACGAAGTATATTTTTTTGCATGTCATAAGCATAATCTATTAGTTCCATTCAAATATGTTCATGCATTGTTTCTGGTGTAATTTTTTTGCTTTGGTCTTTTCTTTTTTCCATAACTGGTTTTCCGGAAATATATTGCAGGTTTGCAAACATCCGTTTTCATTCTCCCCTGTGTATGCTGAGAATGCCCCTGCAAAGCTTCCTTTCCAGGAGTTTCTAGTTGGGATGTCGATGAAAGCTTGTCACGTGTTGCAGTTCTTTCTACGGCTCAGTTTTGTACTTTCTGTATGGCTTGTGATCATACCGTTTATTACCTTCTGGATATGGCGCTTCTCATTTGTTAGGAGTTTTGGTGAAGCTCAGAAACTGTTCCTCGGTCATATCTCCACTACAAATATTCTTACAGATTGTCTTCATGGGTTCTTACTATCTGCAAGCATTGTGTTCATATTTCTTGGGGCTACATCATTGAGGGATTATTTTAGACATTTACGAGAAATAGGCGGGCAGGAGGGTGACAGAGATGATGAAGGAGATAGAAACGGTGCTCGTGTTGCGAGAAGACAGCCTGCACAAGCCAACAGAAACCTTGTTGGTGAGGTGAATGGTGAAGATGCTGCTGGAGCACAAGGAATTGCTGGGGCTGGTCAGATTATTAGAAGAAACGCAGAAAATGTTGCAGCCAGGTGGGAGATGCCAGCAGCTCGTCTTGAAGCGCATGTTGAACAGATGTTCGATGGTTTGGATGATGGGGAAGGTGCAGAGGATGTTCCATTTGATGAGCTAGTTGGCATGCAGGGGCCTCTCTTTCATTTGGTGGAAAATGCATTTACTGTGAGTATAGTCTTGTTGCATTGTTATTCTTTTGTTGCTACCCACCGTAATCTTTGCTACATTATTTACTTGTGTCCCAAGTTATCATGCTTTGATTCATAGACTGGGATTCGACAGTTATTTTGTAATGTCTTGTTTTGTAGCCACATATGAGTATGACTTAACAAGGTAAGGCGTTGTTACCCAGTTGACTTCTATAGCATGTTTGGCAGGCTCATATTGTTGTCATAATGGACCGTGGGATTAGCCTCAACTTTCTAATTCAGGCTCTTATAGCATATTTTTCCAAAAATTCACAGTTTAATGTTTATGAAATCCTTATCTAGCATCCTTCATCATAATATGATATCATACATGGTACCATAAGTCCATAACCTCTATAAAAGATAGGAATTTGTTTCTCTGTGTCCTCTTGGCAAAGAAACAGATGTTGACGAAGACCTTCTGTCTGACTTCTTTGGCAACCAAGTCTATATATGTGTGCTCTCTTTCTTAAACGTCTGCATTATGCATTGGTAAGAGAGGAAAAGATATCACCAACTCTACTGATACGACCTTCACATAATCTTTTCTGAACTGCAAATTGTAAAAAAAAAAAGCGTAAGTACTTTTGGCAACATGTTAGTTTGAAGGGGTGTCTAAGTATTAATATGTGTATACATCGATTGCATTTGATATTTAGCTGCATGTGCATTTTTTTTTATTAACCTGGATATCCAACCTTCTATGCGATCCGACTAATCCCAGGGCAACCACCTGCTTTGCGGGTAGCCCGGAGTCACCGCTTTTGAACCTCCGTGGCCACAAGGGGATTATTATTTATCCTTGGATTTGAACCTAGGACCTCGAGGCACTTTTGACCTTTGGAGCCCAAGCTCAAACCAATCAGGCACCACCCTTGTGGTTAGCTGCATGTGCATTTTTAGTATCTATTGACGTTTGTGCATTGTTCTTTTGGATACCTTGTCCCACTTCCTTTTCTGGGAGTGTTGCTACAAAGCATTGCATATTGTTTGTTTCCAACATGTTTTTGTCAATGTTAACTATGTTCCTTGTCGCTATTTGACAATTTACTTTCAACACATTGTGCATCTGCTGTGTGTCAAGTTCTCTTTTATTTTATGCCATGTTGCTCCATGTGTTTTCTGATTTTTGCTGTTTTATTCTCTTGCAGGTTCTTGCTAGCAACATGATATTTCTTGGTGTCATGATACTTGTGCCATTTCACCTTGGACGATTTATACTCTATCATTTATCGTGGCTTTTGTCATCTGCTACTAGCCCGATGTTGTCAACTGTTGTACCGCTTACAGAGCAAGCACTTTCTCTGGCCAATATCACATTAAAGAATGCACTGACTGCAGTTGCAAATTTAACATCTGATCACAACCCAGATAACAGTGTGATGGGCCATGTTGCAGATATTATAAAAGTGAATGCTACTGGACTTATCGAGTCATCAAACAATGCCACCACTCCCCTTTCAGCTGATATTCTAGAAGGAGAAACCGCTGGGGCATCATGGGTGTCCGATGTCACAAATCTTGCTGTTGGCTATATGTTTGTTTTCTCGCTTATCGTTTGCTACTTTGGAACTGTTGCGGTGATTAGATACACCAAAGGAGAGCCTTTGATCATGGGAAGGTTCTATGGTATTGCTTCAATTGCGGAGACAATCACTTCTCTTTTTAAGCAGTTCTTGACAGCAATGAAACATTTGATGACTATGATAAAGGTTGCGTTCCTTTTGGTAGTTGAATTGGGGGTTTTCCCTCTGATGTGTGGATGGTGGCTAGATATATGCACTATAAGGATGTTTGGCAAGTCGATTGTTCAAAGAGTTGAATTTTTTTCAGTCTCTCCATTGGCAAGCTCATTGATTCACTGGGCTGTAGGGATTGTCTACATGTTACAAATATCCATATTTGTCAGCCTTCTTAGAGGGGTATGTTTCTGATTGCGTTTCACATATCTGATATTCTGAATACCATGCCGCTCATTGCTATAATTGCTTTTCATTGGACAGGTTTTGCGTAATGGAGTTCTATATTTTTTGCGGGATCCAGCTGATCCTAATTATAATCCTTTTCGGGATTTGATCGATGATCCAGTGCACAAGCATGCTCGTAGGGTTCTGTTGTCTGTTGCTGTTTATGGGAGCTTAATAGTAATGCTCGTATTTCTGCCAGTTAAACTTGCTATGCGGATGGCTCCTTCCATCTTTCCTCTTGATATCTCGTAAGATTATTTTTCATGTTTCAGGGGTTAACGACTAGCTGTGTGAAATTTTTAGTATTATTTGATGTTCCTTTTGCTTACGGACTCATCATTTGTTACTGCAGAGTGTCTGATCCATTCACTGAGATCCCTGCTAACATGCTTCTCTTTCAAATATGCATTCCATTTGCTATTGAGCATTTCAAGTTGCGGGCAACGATCAAGTCACTTCTACATTATTGGTTCACTGCAGTTGGTTGGGCACTTGGCTTAACTGATTTCTTATTGCCCAAACCTGAGGATAATGTTGGACAAGAAAATGGAAATCTGGATCCAGTAAGGCAGGATAGACAACATGCTCAAATAGGGGATCAAGATCGGGCAATAGTTGGATATATGGCTCCCAGAGATATGAATAGGGTGAGGCATGTAGAAGCCAATGCTAACATCGCAGAAGCTGATGGTGGTGAACAATATGATTCAGAGTAAGATGTGACCTCATTGTTATTATATCATGATTTGACAATAATTGGGTCACAAGGTAAATTGTAAGCAATTGAAACTAGTAGAAAAATCCATACTCTAAATTGTAATGTAAGTTCAGAGTTTCTAATAGCATTATCATGCACCAATAGAGAAAATAATCATGTCATCTAGGGTGGAGGGATCAGGTTGCAAGAGAGAGGCAATTACAAGTCGTATCGAACAGTAGGCCACGTATGTCATCCACTATATTCTTCTCATATCCTACTAGCAGACAATCATCTTTGTCACCTTCATCGTGCTGCCACTTACAATATCTAAGAAGGATCAGCATGGGCTTTAGTAATATTCTATCGTCTTGCTGCCATTCATATCCCACAACCCTAGGCGGGTTCATCTTTCTAACGTTTGCTATCGGCCTATCGGGTTCACGGTTAGGTTGCCGCAAGTTGTGGTTATAGAAAGATTTCTTTGTCATTGATGCAATAACCTCTTACGAAAAGCTTGGGATCCACTTTCTAATGGATCTTCTAGCTACAGATTTAATTTTTTACCCACAAATTCATGGTACACAGTTAACTCATGTATTATTGGTTTTTCCATTCTTTTAGGAGGTATGGATTTGTGCTCTCTATTGTGTTGCTTCTGTTGGTCGCCTGGATGACACTTCTAATATTCAACTCTATGATAATTGTGGTACCCATTTCGCTTGGACGAGCACTGTTTAATGCAGTTCCCTTTCTCCCCATCACACATGGCGTCAAATGCAATGGTAAGAAATTTAACTGAAGCCCTGTGTACTCATATTTCTGGTAACCTGGGACTTATCTTCATGAATGCTACATCTGATTGTTTAATACAACCTTTTCTTTGAACTTTTTTCCTACCTTCTGTAATTAATCATTTATCTTGCTCTGGGATTGATATGACCCTTCATGACAATTTCTTTCAGATCTATATGCCTTCATTATTGGAAGTTATATCATCTCGACTGCACTGGCTGGTGCAAGGTATTCCATTGGTCAAATCAAAACAAAGAGAGCTACAGTTTTGCTGGGTCAAATTTGGAAGTGGTGTAACATTGTTGTGAAGAGTTCTGTATTATTGTCGATATGGGTAAGACCATATATTCTACAGACTGTTTTTATGTAACCAGATTTTCTCTTTCTTTGCATCAATTAGCATCTATGCTTTGCAGATTTTCGTCATCCCAGTGTTGATTGGACTGCTCTTTGAACTTCTGGTAATTGTACCTATGCGGGTGCCCGTGGATGAAAGCCCAGTTTTTCTCTTGTATCAGGATTGGGCGTTTGGACTTATTTTCCTCAAGATCTGGACTCAGCTGGTAAGTTTCGCATATGCAGATACAACTTTTACAAAGGTCATTTCTTGTATTATAATCATTTCAAATCAAATATGTAGTCATTCAGTGGTTATCAGTATGAATCAAGCTTCTTTTTCTGTTAACGTCAATGGTAATCGACTAATCTGGGTACTGTGTTATGCAACCCAAAATTGCTGACTGAAAATAACAGACCCAATGCTTACACAAGAATTTCTATGGCCTAAACCGATGATGGTAAATGCAGTATCTAGTAGATTTGCTACCTAGGGTTGTTATTGTCACTTACCTTGGTGAAGGCAGGTTGTTTTTCCTCTTCTGTTTGTGGATAGTTTGATAGAGATTTGCCATCTTTATAGCATATACACTACTCCTACATATACATTTTGTACTAACACATGATTATCATGTACTTATAGATGGTTAATTTAATTTCCTGGTAGGTAGTCCAAGTTTTTGTAGGGATCTTCTCCTAATCTTGTGTTCTTATAGATTAAATAAATTGTGCAATTGGGTATATGGTTTCAGGGAGTCTACAGTTAAATCATCTTTGGACTATTCTTACTTGTACTGGTTTTAGTTCTTGTATTCTTTTTGAAGTATATAATATTTATATACGGGAAATTAAACTCGCACACTTCTCACCTCTGGTGAGAACTTGAACCCCTGACCTCGAGGTACCACTGGGCCGATGGCCCTTTAGTCATTTTTGCAACAACTGTTCACGTTTTCCTTTAATCATACCAGTTCTGAAAGACACAATAGGGTTGGTGAGTCGGTAGTTAGGTTACCAGACCCTTAAAGTTAGAATAGGAGATTTAGGTTCCACACCTTGGCTATGTTTATCCTGTACCTAACTTTATTTATATTGTTCTTGTTCACTCATCTCTCTCTTTCTCTCTCTCTCTCTCTCTCTGTTGCTATTGCTTATGCATATCTGGTTTTTCAAATCTTAGCTTATTATCTGATTTTTACACTTTCACACTACTCGCTAGTTCTTGGAAACTACCAGACCCCCCACTTCTAGGTGGGATGTACTGGGCTCGTGTTGGCTGTCACTGGTAGGGGACATGTTATTGACATGGTCTGGTGTTGTAAACAGGTAATGCTGGACCAGATGGCGCCTCTGGTGGATGATAGTTGGCGTCTAAAGTTTGAGAGAGTGAGGGAAAATGGTTTCTCTCGGCTGCAAGGAGTTTGGGTGTTACGAGAGATTGTGATCCCGATCATCATGAAGCTGCTAACAGCTCTATGCTTCCCTTACGTGTTAGCGAGAGGCGTGTTTCCCGTGTTTGGGTACCCGTTGGTGGTTAACTCTGCCGTCTACAGATTTGCATGGGTGGGATGTCTTGGGTTTAGTTTGTTATGCTTTTGTGGGAAGAGGTTTCATGTGTGGTTCACCAACCTCCACAACTCGATAAGAGACGACCGCTATCTGATTGGGCGAAGACTCCATAACTTTGGGGAGACTCCGAGTGGCGTGAGAGAGAATAGTAACGAGGAAGGAGGAGGAGGAGGAGGAGGAGGAGGGGGGTTGAGGCATAGACATCATGTAGCATTGGAGGGGTAAGATTTAAGGAAGGAGGGAGTGTGGTTACTTGTATATATGAATGATGAAATTAGATAAAAAGAGTATAGATAGCAATGGAATCTAGTGTCATAACTTACTTTATATTATTATTAAGTTTGTTTGGTTGTGAAATCATCCATTTCCAGATCAACACAACATAACCTGTTACTACTTTTGTTTATTTAAATTTTAAAATTATGGAAGATGTTACATTTCATGCATGCAAATACTTGTTTTTTACTGTATGAATATATATATATATAGCCAATAGCTTAAGGAGCATGAATGAAGCTATTGTATTAGAAAACACTTTTTTACGCTAATTTTTATGCAAATTTACTTGCTACATTAATTTAAACTTAGGGAGTTTGATACTCGTAAATCGATGCAACAAATTATTCAGTTATCCGTTGAGGACCCATCATATAATAACTAGTTGTGTACCCGTAGGAGCTGTGAATTTTAACGATTTTGAAGTTTCACTGGTTTTATTGGAGAAGATTTAACGATGATATAAGTTATACTTGGTCTTTATATATTAATACAATTTGAATAAATAAGAGTTATGGTTTCAATTATAGTTTGTCGATAAAAAAAATTGTATGACAGTTTAAAATTCAATATATTTAAAATCTCACATATTTAAACGATTTTACAAATGTATTCGATTTACACCAAGAGCGAGACCGAGAGTTTTACAACAATTGAATGGGAGATAAATGAGAGAACTTTTAATAACTCATGATGAATATTAGTTTGAATTTCACCTTGAGGAATGAGAATAAAACATAAAGGTATGAGAAAATGAAGGCATGAATGAAAGGTATCAAAAGTATCTTGAAAACATGAAAAGAAAAGATAATAATATGTATTGGTAACTTATACTATATATTATTTTAATTATAGATTAAGAGATTTTAAGACTAAATACATAAAGTAATAGTACTTAATACATTGAATTGTTTTTAAGACTTTTTGCACAAATGTATAGTACTTTATTCATTAAAAAATTGTTTTTTAAGATTTTTGATAAATCTAGCTTAAAAAGTAATATACATTAAGCTGCCTTTGTAGATGAACAAAATTTCACTCCACCCATCTTTAAAAATAACACAAGAAAAAATACCACATTTTCCAGATGTTTGAAAGAAAATAAACACAGATGCAAGTAAATGGAGTTCAAACATAACATAACATAACATTTAAAAACCACAACCACTCCAGGAAAGTCTTCTAAGCAACCAACCCAAACAAAATCCAAAACTGAAACAATCCACCAAACTAGTAGTAGCAGTAGTAGTATCTTCTAACATGAGTTTCAAGTAAGTTGATGACAATTTCAAGAAACAATAGTGTCATTCAATGACAATGCAGCCAGTTGATCAGCTGGGCTACCACCACCACCCTGTTGCTGCTGAGAAACATTCCTCAGGACATCCATGGCTTCTGCAACCTTTGCTTTCAGAGCTTCTGGAGACTCCAACAAGTGAAGAACCTCTGTCTGGTCCATCTCCAAAAGCATTCCAGTTACCTTTGCAGCTGCTTCTGCTTCCAACTGTTCCACTAGAGGGTACAGATTTTCTCCCAACATCTACACAACAGTTTACCAATTCCCATTTCTCTCTTTCAGAAACTAAAATGAAAATTGGAAAAAGGAAATACGAAGAACATATGAAAAAGGGCTTCTTACCGTTCTTTGCTCTGTTGGAGAAGCATTTGCAAGTGCAGAAGCTAAAGCACCAATTGGAATTGGCTGCGAGATTCCAGCATCACGCAACTGCATGCCATTGCCAATATCATATGGAACAGAACCCATGCCTCCCCCACCCATACCACCCATTGAAACATCAGGAACATTACGACCAGGGGGGTAGCGATACACACGTCCACGTGGAAGCATCTATTTATTCCAAAGATTAGTTATACAAACGCAATGAATAAAGATACACCAAATAAGCTGATCATCAAAAGTAAAACATAGAACAAACCTGCTGCTGCATAAGGGGAACGGGCTGTTGCTGATTCTGCTGACCAGGAACAGCAGTACGCCTTCCACCTGGACGCTGTCCCTGCTGACCTTGCTGAACCATAGGCATAAAAAAGTTCGGCATTGGTGCTCCACCTGGCCTCATGCCTGGAACAAGCTGTTGCTGGTACCCAAAACCAGGCTATCCAGGAATAACAAAAGAACATATAAATAAATAATGAATGTAAATACAAAATCAGAAGAATTATGAACACATATATTGGACTGTCAATTGCAAGAAGTATATGATTTTCACAATTTTATAAAATAGCGTTTAACCAGACCAGTATTTCACAAAAGAGTTCTAAGTGACCATATGGGAAGTGAGATTACTTGGGGTGGGATGAAGGTAGGCTGAGCTTGACCATAAAACATTTGTGGTCCTAGACCAGGACCACCAGGGGGATACATTGGCATGCGAGGAGCTCCAGCAGGTGCCATTGCAATCGGGCGCATCTGTGAAAACTGTGCCTGCATGGATAAAACTTAAACCATCAACATTATGCAGAGGAATATATATAAAGATACAAAAGCCCTTCAATAGTAGAAATATGCACAAGGAAGATGGCCACAACAGCCACTCCTAACTTCCACTTATACAAGGTCACATCTTCCTGCATACCATTTTTATCGTGTATTTGTTGTACCTGTTTACCTTAGTTCTATATTTCTGTTTACGCCAAAATCTCACAACTTCCTCCCTTCTTATCTTGAAAACATGACAATATCATCTAGGCTTTCTCATATCTTTTAAGTGTCCGGATGCCTCTATGAGTATGTGCTCCAAACAACTAGTGAAGCACCCAATGTGGCATGAATCATGATGTTGAACAGTCCTTGGTAATATGATATAGTCCATGATGACATTAAGCTCCATCTTCCCAACAATCACTCCAAAATAAGTTAATGGGCAGTTGCCTAAGACCATGCATTAAAAGGTATGGGTATTCTAAATTTCTAATCTTAGTTAATTAAATAACTATCGTCATCACAACACTAACGTGTGCCTCAGCCATTTTTTTTCTATCTGCCTCTGTTAATAACATACCATACTTACGTCCTTGTAAAACTCTCCTCATCAAAATAAAACGACACTATAATTACACACCTGCAATCTTGCTCTTCTATCTTCTTTGCGCTGGGCAAGTGCAACATAAAGAGGCTTGCTGGCGATCATCTTCCCATTCATCTCCAAAAGCTATCAGAACAGAAAAGTTAATCCTTTACAAAAACATATTCAAATATAATCATAATAAATGTGAATATGTATGCTTACTGCTCTAGAAGCTTCCTCAGAAGTCGAAAATGCAACAAAACCTGATCCTTTGCTTGTTCCATTAGGATCCCTCATGACCTGTTCATAAAGAAAATATTATTGGCCAATTCATGGGCTTATTTTACATGTAGGTATCAGGTGCTTCTTGATCCACAAACCTTGCAGGAAGTTATAGTACCAAAAGGAGTAAAGAAGTCCTTCAGGTTTTCATCAGAAACTGTATCATCTAAATTTTTTATATACAGGTTTAGCCCTTGCGATTTGTCGACGGCCTCCTTCATGGTCTGCTCAAAACGTTGTTTGAGTTCCTGTTCCCTCTCGTTTTTTTTCTGGGCTTTTCCAACATACCACTCCTTATCATCAAACTTCTGTCCATTAAGGCCATCGACAGCTCTGGCAGCATCTTCAGCATTCTCAAAGTTGACAAATCCAAAGCATTTGGAGTTGCCATCTGCATCCCTCATTACAACAGCGCTAGTGATTGTTCCATATTCACTAAATGCCTTGTTTAAGTCATCATCTGTTGTTGATTCAGACAGGTTCTTAACAAAGACATTAGTAAACCTGGTCTTGTCCACAGCCATTTCTCTTTCTTGCTTGCGCAGGAAGGGACCAACATACACTTGTTTGTCATTCAGGAGCATGCCATTCAGCTTCTCAATAGCTTGTTGTGCAGCTTCCTCACTGTCATACTGCACAAACCCATAGCCTTTTGACTGACCAGTCAAATCTGTAGCAATCTTGCAAGAGAGGATATTTCCAAATGCAGAAAAGGTGTCATGAAGTGCTTTTTGGTCAATTGCCCTGTCCAAATTCTGTATCGTTCAGGACAAACAAAAGATCAATCAGTAACAAAGACAATAAATGCATGGTGAGATAGATCAGTCATTAGATACCTTGATAAATATATTTCCAGAGCCACTTTTGCGCACACTAGGATCTCGATGAGAGTACATTATCCTAATTGACTTGCCATTGAGAGGTGTGAAGTTCAGCACCTCTATTGCCCTTGCAGCTGTCATTAACATAACAAAAAAGAGTAAGAACTCATCTCACATCAAAACTCATAATAGATAAAACTTGTCTGGCTCCTTTTCCCCTATATCCAGAGTGTGGAGGAAACATTTTCAAAGCACATTCAAGTAAACACTTGAAAGATTTAATAAAAATGCAGGACACACAATTTGATCAACATACCATATTGTGAAACATGGAAGAACTCTAATTCCATGACAAAAGTAATGCAAGATCTAGTCGATGATAACATTAGTATTTCAACACATCCTACAAAATTCGGATCATTGCTTTCAAGCACATCTCACGTTTTCAAGTGACTCTATGACTACTCATATTCTCTACTAGTAGGGATATCTTTGAAATCCAAAAATGTTTGCCACTTGAAATAGTATGGAATAACTCATTATTGTATAGGTTTTGGTAGGTTTATTAAGTTGAACACCCGAGATGATATCCACAATTTATAATATCAAATTACTTTGGACACATGGTTGTTACAACTATAAGCAAAGCCCTTGGGTGCAAGCAACATAGTTAAGAAAATGAAACTTTTCAAATGACATCCACCAGAATTTAAAATCCTAATTAAACATGTAAAGTCAACTAGTGAACACCGAATAAGGAAGCCCATGTCATTTAACTTCAATTAGTGCAAGTCAAATACAAAACCAGATCATGGTAAAGACCTAATAATAAGAAACGTATTTAAACAGCTTTCGATTTATTAAATAAAATTCCCAAATTTTAGTTCCTTGCTTCATTTCAGACTTGTTCCTGAAAATATAATCCAAATCAAAACAGACTCTTGAACTCTTTTCTTGTAAACCAATCACATGACAAGAATTAGAACAGAGGGTCGACTTAAGAAAATGTAAATACTTCACTACATGATTCCTAATCACAATGTAACACATAAGACTTGAAGATTAACCCAGTTGTTTGGTTGCTTTGCTTCAAGTTCATCATCAATATCAGTCATATCACTTCATAAGCACGTCTCTTTAGCAAATACAAGGTATTAAGACCGAGATCCAAATATCATTGCATCCATAGATGCATACAGAAACCAACACGAAAATGTAAGTTACCCCATTGTTCTTTAAAACATTTACATCTAAGCTTTTAATATCGTCTTCAGTGAGCACAGTACCATTAAAAACTTCTTGCATATTTGATTTTCAACTATCATGGTTGCTAAATGAAGTGAAGTACCATCAGATAAAGACTAAATGCTAACAATTTGGACAAGCAAGTATAAACAAGATAAATGATGTCAAAGGAACCAACCATCTTGAGGGTTGACATAGTTGACATAACCATATCCAAGAGACCGTCGAGTAGACAAGTCCCTGCAAACTCGAACCGAAACCACCTGACCAAGTTGGTTAAACAACTCGTACAGTTGTGAATCGGTCACGTTCATCTCCAAATCTCCGACATACAACGACGTCGGCACAAACTGCTGAGCGCCACCACCACCAGAAGCGCCACCGCCATTCACCGACTGAGGTTGAAGAACTTGAGCCGCCATCTCAAAACCCTAGCACAAAAATTTATCTTTTCAGGGTATTTTTCTCTTTTTTTGGCTTTTGTAACTTCCCTCTCCCCTTCTTATTGATAAAATCCAAATCTTAATAACTAGATAGAAGGGAAACCCAGATAAAAACTTCAACTCCCAACAAAGCAAAGCGCAGAAACCCTAGAAAATTTTCGATTTTTCTGTAGATTTGGTTTTGTTTTTGTTTTGTTTTTGAAATGGATACAGATAGCTAGAGAGAGGAGAGGGAACTATAATAGATAGGGATAGATAGTCGGAGATCCGACCAGCGAACAGCGAGATCGCCGCTAGGTTACGGCGGGAGAGAAAGATAGAGGCAGGCGAATAGAGAGAGTGGAGATAAAGAGGGTTTTCCAGGGCATATAAGAACTGCACAAAGGGATTTGGAGACACGTGTTACTACGAGGGGGGTTTTTTGTAAATTTTTGAAAGCATGAGGGCCGAATCTGAGCTGTTGGATTTGATGACCGATCTTCTCGCATTACTATGTCTCGAATTCGAACCAAGTATCATTTAAAAATGAGTAAATTACAAATTTAGTCCCTGTGATTATATACCTGTTATGGATTGTTTCCGTTTAATGAAATAATTACAAATGTAGTCATTATGGTAATATGGTTTCGGTTTTGTTACATACTCGGTTTTATAAGCCTTGTCATGTTAACATAAACTCCGTTAAATAACCCATGTGCCCCTTACGTGACATGAGGGATATTTTTGTCTCTTTACTTTTTTATAGTTTTTCATTGAACAAGTTTGAATGTTATTTGTATAATTAATTTTTTTATAAGTCTTTAAATAATTAAATCAAAGAAAAAACTTAGGGGCCGTTTACTAAACACTTACCCAGTAAACGTTTACCGGTAAAATTTAATATTATCACTTACTTACACGAAAAGATTTTAGTCTATTAAAACGGCATTGTATGCAACAATTTATCAGATAAGTGCTAACTGTGATAAGAATTTATAGTACGACTGATGAACAAAGTGGTGGTCGTGCTAGAGTATGCACCATAGTAGGTCCACCCCCGCTCATAGATTTGTAAAACTTTTATGGTTCTCACAATTTAGCCCCTTACACACACAGAGAGAGAGAGAAAAAGATAGATGGTAATTGCCTAGCCAAAGTAGTCGTTGTCACATGTGTCGTTGGAGAAAATGTGGGTAACTTTTACTTTTCGAGCTCCCTTCCTTTTAAACCCTAATTGATTCTCATAGTATCTCGTATTTACCAGTTAAAATCAAACAATTTCATATTATGTTGATTCCAAGATAAATGGTGTTTGTTCTTTTTAAATCATCTACTGCATGATGACTTAAATAGGCTCTAGTTTATTTTGTTATTAGAAAGTTTGAATGTATTGAGGTTATATCTGGCAAACTAGCTGATAAGCTAGTTGATGGCTGATAAGCTATCTGGTAGATGATAAGATGGTTGATAAACAAATCATGATCGACAAAAACTAGCTTATAAACATGTAAAATAACAAACAAAAAAAAATATCTTGAAAAATTAATCAATTACAATATTCATGATGTAACTAAAATAAATCTCTAAAGATAATAAAAAATATATATATAATATAATGTTGACTAAAAGAACTTTAAATTAATTCTTTTAAAATTTTGATTTGTTAAATAAATTTTAGAAAAAACATGTTAATTTATGATTTTAAATAACCATTAGATATAATATGAACAAAAATAAAGTGTCGACCTCACGTATTCTAATTGATTCATAATTTTTCCAAATATATAATTAATTTAAATATTTTATTAGCATCATTTGAAATATTTTTATTATTTATAAA